GCGCGGGACGAACTCCTCGTACAGCACCAGCGTCGTGCCCGGATCCTGCGCTGCCCCCGAGCGCGACTTGTACTCCACCTACACGCTTATGTCAGCATGCCATTCCCGAAACAGACAAGGAAGGAAAGACGCACCAGCGCCCATGAGCACTCGCGTGCAAGCTCCGCCGACGGACCGGCCACGCCCGCTGCGCGCTCCATCCACCCGCCGCCCCACAGCAAGTCGCAGAACACATCCACGAACGCCTCCTCGATGACCTCCTCGGGGCCCAGCACGGGCGCGGTGTCCCACCCGAACGCGGGGAGTGCCTTGTGTGCCTTGCGCAGCTTGCGCGTGAGCTCGGCGTTGAGCGACGAGGACGAGTTGAGCGCGGACGCGTTGAGCGTGAGCGGGGGCGAGAACTGGAGCGTCGCGGAGAGCGGCGCGTCCGAGCGCGAGAAGCCCGCCGTGGAGAAGTCGTTCCAGGACAGCGTCTCGCGCTTCGCGAGGCGTTCCTGCAAATACACGTCAGTCAGCGTTTGTTCGTGGAGGAAGAAAGGAGAAGACGCACCGCCCTAGCATTCTCCGTCAAATCAAATCGCAGCCTGCCCTCAATCCCGCCCTCCTTCGGGCCCGCACCCGCGCCCTCACTACCAAAGCCGAGACTCTCGAACTCGCCCCACTTGAGATCCGTTAAGGACCGGAACGCGCCGGACTCCTCGCCGAGCGACGTCGTCGATGGGCTGGAGAGGTTGTACGCGGACGGGGAGAGGGACGAGGCGCCGGTGGAGGAAGAGAAGTACGAGTTGGTGGACGAGGTAGAGGAGGTGGACGACGACGACGACGTGGAGGGGTGTATGCCCACGGCAAAGTCCATGCGCTTGCGGTAGGGCTCGGCGTAGCGCGGGGAGCCCGCGCCGCCGGCGAGGATTGTGCGCCATGCTCTGGAGGCGGCCCATTCGTTTGCGGGGCCTGTGGGGGTGATTAGCGTCGTGGTCGAGACAAGAAACGCGAGGAAGTTAAGGTGGAGGGACAAGCGTAAGAAAACGGGACGAAGGAGAGGAGGCAGCGTCGTGAAGATGGAGCCAAGAGCGATGAGGAAGGGAAGTGAAGGACGAGCGGGGCTCGACAAGGGAAGTGGAGGAGCGAGCGGAGTCTCGACAAGGGAAGTGGAGGGGAGCGCGACAAGGGGGAGAAAGGCAAGAGTCTCGACAAGGGAGAGGAAAGGAAGGAGACGTGGGTGAAGATGATCAACAGCGCGGAGTGTCTGGGTGACGGACGACACGAAGGAGGACGATGGGATGGACGGAGATAGAGGGAAAGTATGGGGAAGTGACGTGGAACGGAAAGCGGCGTGAAGCGAAGGGTGAGGGAAGGAAACGAGGAAGGAGGTGGAAAGCGAAAACGAGCGCGGTACGCCGTCCGGGAACGATAAAGGGAAACACAGATTAGGAAGAATAACTCACCTCCCCCAGCAGCCCATGCGCTGCCCCCCCTCACCAGATCCACACTATAACTCCTCACATTCCTCCGTACATGCACGATCCTGACCGTCTTCGCGCCCCTCCGTGCGCCCTTGTTCGTCCCCGTGCCGCCTGCGAATACGTCAAAGTTAGCGTGGGTGTCGAATAAAAGACAGAGAAAAAAGGCGAAAAAAGGGGCGTGTGGCGGAAGGACGCGACCGCCTGCTCTGCATCCTACGAGAGACGAAACTCCGCCCGCAAGGCCTCGCTCCTCTACTCCCCTCCGCGACGAAAACGAAATGAAAAAGAGAGTGGAAGCACACTCACCCTCGCCAACCCCCTGCGGATACATCCCCACCCACTCCCGCAACTTCGTCGGCGCCCCCAGCCCCCTCCCCTCCGCCCCCACAATCCCCTCCCGAATACTCGCCAACAACAAATGCTCCGACGCCCTTGCTCCTCTCAAGAACTCCTCGTACGCCGTGCTGAACGCGCTAAAGTCCTCGATCGTGGGGTACAGCGCGTCCTCCGGCTTGTCCTTGTCGCCCTTGTCAGACTTGTCCTTGGACGAGGACGAGTGGGATTCCTTGATCGGGGTGGGCGGCGGGGGGAAGGCGGACGCGGGGGGCGTGAGCCCGAAGAGGAGCGGGGAGAGGACGGAGGCGAGGGAGGGCGGGGTGTGGCCCGATGCGTTTGAGTGCGCGACGAGGCGCGTGCAGAGGGCGAATAATGGCTCGAGCAAGGCGGGGAGCTGCGCGGGGAGGGAGGCGAGGAGGGAGGAGAAGGCCGTTGGGGGGTAGGCGTTTGCTGCGAAGAAAGAAGGGTTAGTATGCGGTTGTGGGTGAGGATGAGAGAGGGAAAGAAAAGATGGGGAAGATGGGGAGGAGGGAGGGAAGGCGGGGAGCGGGGGCAGAGGAGGGAAGCATGTATGTGTACGAAAGACAAAGAATAAGAAAGAGAGGAGTGAAAACGAGGGCAAAGTGCCGTCCGCTGCAAGGACGAGCAGCATGCGCCCACCCACTCCCTCGCCGGGGTAAAACGCCCCAATACGCAAGCCCATCATAACCCGCGCCCTGAACCGTCATCAGACGATGCCCTCTCAACGTCCCCGCGAAGAGCAAAAAGCCCGTCCCAAAAACGCCCAAAAAGCGGACAAAAATGCGGCAAGAAAAGAAACGCCCTCCAAGAGTACGAGCGCAAGAACGGAAGAACGTCGGATCAGATATCGGGCAGGCGCGCCCGCGGAGTGAATGCCCACGGAGTCGCAAATGCCCAACGGGCAATCTCCCAAACGCGCCGATCTCCGCCAAGCGGGCGATCTCCTAAACGGGGTCCATCTCCGCAAAGCGGGGGAAGGGTGGACTCCAAGCGGCGCCGCCGGGCGCAAGAACCCCAGCAACGCCGAGTGGCGTGCCAAAGAGAAAACGGAGGCGATGATGAGGGCTGCGCGACGGAAAGAGAAAGAGCCGCGCGGCGAGACAAGAGAAGGGCGGGTCGTGCCAGCGCGGACGCAGGATCTGTTCGTGCACAGATGCGCCCGGGAACGTATAGGTATAATTCCAGCGCAGCGTCAGCGGGCACGCAAGAGAGGCCAAGGGCAGATGGGGGCATGCTATCGCAAACAGCGCAGCCCACGCCAAACGAGGGAGAACAGACGAAGGCAAGAAAGGAGCAGAGAGAAGAGGAAAGTAGGGAAGGATGAGGAAGGAAAGAAAGGTAGGAAGAGGAAGGCGGACCAAAAACGTAAAAAGAAGAGAGAAGGCAAGACGGCAAGGAAGGAAAGGCGGAAAGACGAGAAGGAGAGGATAGCGAATAGGGAGGATAGAAGAAAGAAGGGTTAGAAGAACACTCACCCGCCTCCTCCGCGCGCCACCGCTCATACCACGCCCAGCTCAATAATCCCCGCACCTCTCTCCCACCCTCGACCCTCACAACCCTCGACAGCCCCCACCGCAAACACATCCCCAGCTCGTGCGCCCCCGCGAACCGCGCCTCCTCCGCCCACCGCTCCTCCGCTTGCTGGCTGCCATTGCGCGAGGACGAGGAGTCCTGGCAGGTGGCGAGGAAAGCGTGCACGAGGCGCGCGACGGCCGGGCGGCGGACGTCGAGTGCAAGGGCGGAAAAGACGAAGGGGGTGGCGACGCCCGTGCGCTCGAGCTCTGCACACACGCGCGCGACCAGGCGCGCGGCGTCCGGCAATCCCAGCACGGCGTCGCGCGCGGGCGAGAGGAGCCCGTACGCCGGCCGGGGTGCTTGTCCCCCAGTTTGTCCTAGTCCTGCAGCGGTGGTGGGAGTACTGCTACCGGAGGCTGCGAACGGTACGGCGTTGTCCACGGGCAGCGTTGTAGGGAGGAATCCGACGGCGCCGTAGGACGAGTCGGCGGTCAGGCTGTGGGTGCGCGCGCGCATGAGGCCGAATTCATCGGATGCAGGGGTGGGGGAGCGGGGGTTGCCGGGCATGGGGGCGGTGAGAGCGGCGGCGAGCTTTGCTTTTTGCTTGGACGGCGTCGACGCCGTCCGCGCGCGCGAGAAGAGCGACGGCATCTCTAGCCTCCTCTCAGATTCCTAGTCTTCCTTCTTCTTCTCGTACAAGTTCTCCACCTGGATACGGCGTAAGTCGACCTGCGCCCTGTGTTCTTCGCTGTCGGCGACGACGAGACGACGGCGGGGATCGTGTGGACGGAGGAAGGAGAGTGTTACGTAATCCATCAAATTGGATGGGACCTTGTCAATTTTGATGCGCGGCGATCCCCACCGCCGTTTGCGAGTTTCCTTTCATGGTCCTTCCATGCCACTGCCTCGCTTTCTTCCCTACCGTTCTGTCCTTCGTCCTGAGTCACCGAGCGAGCTGTCCGTCCTTCAAGTGCCTCCTACCGCCGGTCCTCGGACTCCCCGGAGCATGGCCGACCTCTATTGTCGATTATGGTAACCGCGTTTGAGTGGTAACCACAATGCTGCTGATTCCATTATTCGTTTACTCGGGGCCGGCAACCCAATTTGACGCAAGCTGCAGATAGCGAGCAGATAGGGGCTTTCGGAATCCGATGTCTATATTCACCGGGACCGCGGAAATGGCGCCACTGTCGACTTACACCGCCGATCGTGATGCGTTCTCACTCGGTGCTAGACCGGCGCTGAGCTCTCTTGACAGCATCGGCTCATGCTAAAGTGCGGGGTAGTGCATCAGGGGTGCACTAATAATATTTTGCTTCACAGCATGTGCGGCCCGCGCCGCGATACGCTTCTATGGTGTTTCCCGTCCCGTCCCCGCTCAAAGGCCGTCTCGCATGTGGTCTCGATTTTGTATTTTGTTCGCCTTCATGAAACTAGGTGGACCCGGTGGGAAGACTTGATAGCGTAAATGCGCACCTTTCGATTTGTATCTCCGTCATCGAACACATTGTCCATCTTCGTTCACTTGACTCATTCCCTGCTTCCACAAAATTTTTGCAACTCGGCCAAGCTCGACGCAGATTCTAAATCATTTAAAACGTCACACGTACGATTCTCGAGCCCGCAATTTCCCTCACTTATCCAAGCTCCACTTTTCAGGAACACGACCTAGTGGCGAACGGACCGCACCCGCTCCGAATGGTTATCCTGCCGCGATGCATCTATGGCGGAAGTTCCTGGTTCGACTCCGGGCTAGGTCATTACAAGTCTTTAGTTCTTTTTTGGGGAGAGCGACGGACGACCTTTCCCTAATTTCCTGATTTTGACGGCGGGTCTCACGCCACGGGCAGTAAGTCTGGAACCAATTCAATGCAAGCCCAGTGCAAACTAGACCATGCATCGGCGGCTGGACTCCATGGCCGCGTCGGCTGCGCGCTAACACCGCCGTGCGTGCGTTCCTCCTGCCTTTTCTGGCGTGTAGCCTTAATCTCACCTGCCATCGCCTTCTTCCACAGTATCGGCATCCTTGAAATAGTAACTTGGTGCGTCATACTGAAGGCTCAATTTACCGCACTTATTAAAGATTTACTTTGCGGGAATAAGACCTAGTAGCGGAGGGCCCGCGCCTGCTTCGTTCATCCACACCTTTCTCAAAAGGAGGAGTCCGTGGTTCGAATCCACGCTAGGTCATATTTCTCTCGTATCGTACAATTTTTGTCTTCGTGTCCTTGACCCTTCATTGCCCCGAATTCCAACGCATCGCTCACTCCATCACGCACTTCAACACCTCTCTCACGCCCTCAAATTAACCCGTCGCTCACGCCCTCAGATTAAACGCATCGCAGGGGAGGACGCGCAAGTAATTCTCATGATACGCAATGTAACCCTAATATTCAGTCTACTTTGTAGGACGACCTAGTGGCGAAAGAATTGCGCCTGCATTCAATGAATAGATACCTTCTTGATGTCGCGGGAGGTCCGGGTTCGACTCCGGGCTAGGTCATGTCTTCCTCGCGTAGGTCTTTTTCCCTCCTCTTCGTTCCGTTCCCCCAATTTGCAGAATTTGACGACGACACGACGCAGATCTGGAGCTACTTCCAGACAAACACATAATTAACTAGGTGAACTCGGTGCTAGATAAGCCACGCTCCGCGACTCTGTTATTTCCTTCCTCCACAACTGTCGGCATCCAATCACCAACTTGGCCCGGAACTCCACGCCGTGAAATGTATATTACTCTGACACGGTGGTGTGTGATATTATAGGCTCAATTTAGTGCACTTATTCAAGGTGTTGTTGGTAGGAGGGAGACCTAATAGCGGCCCCGTGCCCGCCTTCAATAAAAGTGTTACCGATATGGTAGGAAGCCCCTGGTTCGACTCCAGGTAAGGTCATACGCGCATGGTCGTCTTTTTTTTTCCATGCTCTTCTCTCGCTGGTGCCTCGTCAAATTCAAGAGATAGGGCCGTGTATAGGACCTTATATCTCCGCGGTACCACTTTTCGGGGACGTCAGAGCATGGTGGATTCCATGGAACTTCCGGACCGGTCCCACGTTGTACGGTTTCGTATTTCCCTCCATCTCCACCCAAAATCTCACAATTTGGGCCCCCAGCAGCGCAAGAAATCTTCTTGCCCGTCCGCCCCCCTAATTTTTGACCGTCTCAGTTCGTAGACAGCATTCCCCTCAAAATCGCATGCCAAGCGCACCCTTATTCTATCCTCCACGAATAAAATACCACGCATCCTAATAGCAAGAAATGCACATTAGGGGTCTCAACATGACCCTTGCTGATTTTAGGCGATTCCGATAAAAAGAGAATGAGCAATAAATATTTAGTCCCACTTATCTATGAAGATATGACTAGGTTTTCTGCCCGCCCAGACGCCAAAGCCGCACTGAATACCAGGTGCGTTCATTCTATGCTAGTCGGTACCTGCGCTGATTTTGAAATTCATATTTTTTAAATAAAGAGTTGTCTGACATCATTCGGTATGTGTTACTTCGCTCTCTTGCGTTATTTTGCTTAATGCAATGATTCAGGGACTCAAGACTCGGAAAATTCGATTAGTTGGAAATGCGGAAACAAAAGCTCCTGTTGTACGCTTCAATTTTATTCATTTTTTACAACAAAGTGCGGCGCTTATGGGGGGTTTAGGGAGCTATTTCTTGGGAATAAGACCCGCACAGAACTCAGTCCACACAGCATACAGGTCTACATAGAGCAGCTGCGCCCGAAGAGGTCTGGTGTTGCGTGCGTGGTAGGTGTGGGTAGGGAGGTGGGTGAGACAGCGGTGTGGGAGAGCCTGGGCGGCGGGAGGAGGGATGGGTGGTATGCGGAGGGGTTCACGGTAGTTCTACCTAGTTGTATCCACCTCAAGTGGAACTCGATGTGGTTCGACGCGTTGCAACAAAACTGTAGAACCAGATCGAGCCCTGGGCCAATCTTCGAGCCAGGTGAAACTCTCCAACAAAGGTTCGACCTGGCTGCGGGTCGTTTTCACTGGGAATCAAAACCAATGCGGTTTTCAGGCTCCTACGTAATTTTTCCTTGGACCTCGACCTCGTGAAAAATGTGCGCGTGGTTGGAGTTGACGTAAGAATCCGGATTGTGACTGTCCGGCTCTTACGCGGCATGGCTGGCGTCACTAGCACCTATGTTGATTCAGAAGATATTTTAATACCCAGAATTTCTTTCCCTGCAGCCCTTCCCTCAGGGCACATGTTGCTCCGCCGACAGTTTCCCCTGGCTCCAGCATACTCTATTACATTCAACAGTTGCCAAGGCCTCACTCTGTAAGGCTCCAACCATTTAGTTTTCGTTTGAAGATCTGGGCAATCAAACGAAAACGGTATTTAAACTGTTTAAAACCGTTTAAAACCATTTTAAATGGTATTTTTTGCAGGTCATCGAAACACGAGTGAAGTAATTAATTAGTGGTCTTTGCTGCACTCCAGGGATGCACGCTTGAAGAACCCGTCCGTTATCTACACTTTGGTAAGCATTACCTCAATTATAATCTCCGCTTTCAATGATCCTCGCGCTTCATAGCAGATATAATGCGAGTCTAATAATAGGCGCTCGACAGAGACGCTGCTCCCAGAAATGGCCAGGACAAGCCGAGACATTGTTGAGCCGATCGTGAAACCATGTTGATGTTCAAATTCCTATGAGGAAAAGAATTGACGCGAGTCCCCGCACCATTTCTTGTACTGATTTCTACCATGTCAACAGGCTCCACCAAGGCTCAATACCCATATGTGTTCATCTAAAAATTGTTCCAGCTCCCCCAGTATGGTTTCAAGTTCCACATTGGTAACATCGTCCATACATCGTCCAGCAAGGAATTTAATGTGCCATTCCTGAAGTACAACTTGTAACCCTTTAAACTGTTTGAAAATGGTTTATAAACTGTTTGGACCGCTCTTCAAATAAAACAAAAACAAAAACAGTTTAAACCCGTTAAACCCGTTTTAAAGCGGAAACGGTTGGAGCCTTATCACTCTGGATATTATTGGCGTCGACCTCCGAAGACCGTTTTTCCCCATGAGCAATTATATATTGCGTCATCCCGCATCAGGCACCGGACTCATGCAAGAGTTCTTTTTCGTCCAGGAGAGACTACAACTACCAATGTTACTTATCATGAGATCCTCGTTTACTGTAGTAATCCGACCAAGTGTTCACAGGGTGTCACCCGTCACCCAGTGTTCATTTTTTCAACTGTTCATTTCTCGGCAATCATGGGGAAATTTCCATAAATGGCAGTCCGGCGAATGCCGGACGAGAAGTTTTCGCATTTTTGAGCCATTTTGGGCCAGAAATCTTGGCTGTCACCATCACCTAGTTCTCAAGTGTTCATTTTCAAGTCCCGTCACCCGTCACCTGAACACTTGGTCGGATTACTACAGTAATGTTTTAAATAAATCTCCTCCATCTTATATGCCCGAGCGAAGCGAAGGCGTATCTTGTGGACGAGGGTGGCGATGCAGGCACGCATCAACAAGCACTCGGCCCGCTTGATTTGATCGCTCTTTGCTTCCTCCCATGGCCAGCTTCTCATCAGCATGATTCGGTGTGCGGCTTAGACGCCGTTGGATGTTGCCGGCGCACACTTGTTCTCCCGCTCTATACAGTTCCCGGGCACCCCATCGGCTTGAGCTTTGCACTGGGAAACTTTTGCCTTCTTTCACGCTTGTGGCGCCCGTGCCTTGAATCTATGACTATGATCGCTCCCACTCGCCAGTCCAGATTTCCTCTTTCTGGGTGCTTTGACGACATGCCACCTTCCAGGAACCGTAAGTCCGCTCTCACGGTCGAGAAGGTCGTGGGCCAAGCTGGCCTGCGGGACACCGCTACGTGCAGCTATATTTGTAGACGGGATCGCTATCGACGGAACGGTGGGGTGGAATGCTTATAAGTAGGGCCCCACTCATGTTTGTCTGCGTGCCTGTGCCTTTGCCCGCGCCCGTACATACTGTGTCCGCCTCTCGCCAGCGCTTGGTCCGTGGTCGAATACCCCTGACGCCGACTTCGCTACTGACACTTACATTCCGACGCCGTAAACAGGAGCGAAATTAAGATGAAGACAATATTCTTTGCACCAATGCGGCTCGCGCCGCCGCCAGAGAAGCGGCCGCAGCCTCTTCTGAAGATGCTATGGGAGCTGACATGGCTGCAGTGGGCATTCTTCTGGGTCGGCTGGCTCGCGTGGACGTGCGACGCGCTCGATTTTTTCAGTGTTAGTGTCAGCGTGCCCGCGCTCAGCAAGCAATTCAATAGAGACACCAGTGCGATTGTGTGTACCCTCCGCCTTCCTCTTTTCGAGCGTAGACAACGGCTGACTGAGATGCGCGCGCAGACACAAGCGATAACTCTGACGCTGCTCTTCCGTTCCGTCGGCGCGGTACTGTTCGGGATCTTCAGCGACCGCTTCGGGCGCAAGTGGCCTCTGGTATTCAACCTGCTGCTCGTCGCGGTCCTTCAACTCGGCGCCGGCTTCGTGCAGACGTTCCGCCAGTTCCTCGCGCTTAGGTCTTTGTTCGGTGCATCACTCTCTCCCCTCAATTATACTTATACTTGCACGGGCACTGGCTAACCAAAGACCATGTAGGCATCGGCATGGGTGGTATCTGGGGCCTTGCCACGTCTACCTCGCTCGAGAACCTCCCCGTCGAGCTACGCGGCGTCGCGAGTGGCATCCTTCAGGAAGGGTATGCGTTTGGGAATCTGGTACGTCGCGTTATTCACCCAATGTCGTCTTCTATGCTAACGTGCCCGTCCTTCCAAGCTCGCTGCGGTCATCTCGCTCCAGCTCGTGCCGGAGGTCGCCCCCGGCTGGCGTGCGCTTTTCTGGACCGCGTCGGGAATCAGCGTCTTTGCCGCGTTTCTGAGGTCGTTGTTGCCAGAGAGCGAGGCATTCTTGAAGGTGCGTCCTCGTCCCTGTTTTTCTTCCCTCTCCGGCCTTCGCTCCGCATTTTGAGTCCTTTCCCCATCCCTCATACAGTCAACCCACACCCTGTCGCTCGCTTTCCTTGGCTCATCCCCTCTCCTCTCTGATCCCTCATACTTTTGCTCGCCCAATAGTCAGACTGCTCACTAACTTTCCCCGCAGGCCCGCCGCGCGGCCGAGGCTCACGGTACTGTTTCCGAGGCACAAAAGACGCGCGTGTTCATCCGCGAGACAAAC